CGCGTATTGTTATTTTGTCTGTGGTCACAGTTTGTGTTTTTCACAGAGTTTGTCAATCGTAGGATTTTAAGTGGTTCCCAAGGTTTTAATGCTGCAGTCCTCATAGGCAGCATCTTCAAATTGTACGGTAGGAATGATATCTTCCTTATCCAATCCTTGAAGAAGATGGTTACTATTTGCGCACCATTTTCTTAATTTAAATCCGGAACTTAATAGTATGTGATTAAGCTCCTTTTGAATTTGAAGGTCCTCTGGAATTGTAAAAATCATTTTTAAGAGCAGAAATATTCCAAACATTTTGTTGCCAGATATGGTGCAGACTTTTTATCGGTTTTTAACCGATAAAACTTTCTGTCTGTACATTTTTTCAATGGCAGCACTGAATACATATTTATGCATTCTAAATCAAAGCAGTTTTGACATTAAACTGTTTTGCACTGTATGACCTTTGTGCATTAAATCGTTCAGTGATTTTCCGGAAGATGTCACTGCAGATGCGTCAAATACAACTTTTAACTTGGTTGTCTGACTGTAGGGTTTAAGAACACAATGATGCAGTATAAAATAATGGGACTTCGGAGGATGTATATGGGGTACTTCCTTCATGTGCCCAAGAGCTTCATACTCCTTCGTGAACTCTATGTATCCTTTTTTTATTGCCTGATCTTTTTGCAATCGTTTTTCCAACGATAAAAACCGCCTCGTGGAAATGTCACGACTCTCCCCCAGCGCTAAAGTATGCTCCAAAAAGGGTAACTTAACAATTAGTCTAGAGTCCTGAGCCTTCTGAACGTTCTGCAGGAAGTGATCCTCACACTGTATCCATTGGTGAATAGCATTTTGTCTCTGGTTGAAAATTATCCAATTCCCAGAATTTAGCGAGTTGCTCATCAATCTTTTCTTCTTTCGTAAGTACAGCACATTCTGATGATGTAGGTGCTCTCTCAGAAATTTTCCCGGCTACAATCCATCCAAGTTTTGTATTCTGTAGCTTGGGGAGTCCATTTCTTAAGCTCATACACTCGGCTTGCATTATAATGAAGTAATGCTCGGCTCCAAGAAGAATATAATTTTTTCCAGGTTTTCCAAATTGAGGGTCAGCCAATATCATATTTTTTTGGTATTTTCCAATTATTAGTCGAAATTGTATAAGTTGGTTGATCAGCGACTATGTGAGGCAAAACCATTGCTTCAAGCCGTGAACTAAAATCGCCTTGTTCTGACTTTAGCTAAACGGTGATCCTTGCATTGGAAAACTGAGATTTTCCACCAATGCCATTTATTTTCAGAATCGAATTTGCGGTTTTCAGTGAGAGCATTTTAATTGCTCTTTTGGAAATGGTATTAATTTGGGATCCAGAGTCAAGCAGGTCCGGTTTTGTTTCCAAATGCAACAAGGTATTGTGTTTTTTGTTGCATTTAAAGCAATCACTCTTTGTGCATTTTTTTGACGGGGGATTTTGGCTTAGACATTTAACACATCATTTTTGTTTTGAACCCAGTTAAGACGTTCTGCTGGTGTTTTCTTTAAAAACTCATTGCATTTATATATGCTGTAATTTGGTTTCTTACAAAAGAAACAGTTATATTATGTTTCAGCTCCAACTGATGCGCATGTAGTTTGTTGTTTTTTGAGAAAGTTTAAAAATTCATTCAAAGGCTGAATTTGCCTTGTATTTTGAACGAATTGCTCATACAACAAGTGGTTTTGTCGATCAAGCTTTTTTGTTAGAAGACAGAGTAGAAGTGGTGAAGTGACAAATGGGATTGTCTGTCTCTATGCCGATGTTATTGAGAGCAAATAATGTTTCCTTCACATTACCATGCAACGATTTAATTGTTTTGGAATCATTTGTTATCATTGAATGTTCCAATATTTTTTGAATTAAAGTATTACTTAATACTCTTTTGTTGTTGAAGCGTTCTTCGAGTGTTTTCCACGCAGTTGAATAATTTGCCTCAGTTAGCGATAAATGGCGAATTAGGCGCTCTGCCTCTCCATTAACGTTAGTCTTTAAGTACCACATTTTTTGTAAAGTGGGTAACGTTGATTCATAAATCATTTTTTTGAATATATCACGAAACTGTTGCCACTTAAAATATTCCCCATCAAATTTGGGTTGTGCTACCTTTGGATAATGAACAGCACTTGTTGGAGAACTATTTGTTGTCTCCTTTCTTACATACATTTCTGTTTGTACCTTTGTGACTGCATGCCATGTATCTGGTGTCGTCATATCCAAGTTCCTTCGGGTCCTTAAATTTTTTATAAATTTGGACATGAATATCTTTTATCTCATTCCAGTATTGTGTAATGACGGTGTGAAATTTTGTTTTGTTTCTTCAGTAATTTTATTCATGATGCGCTCTAGTCTATCAAGCAACACACTTTGTTCTCTAAACATCGATTCTATTTCAATGTCCTCTGCTGTGGATGCGATAGATGTAACATACGCTTCCAAGAGAGACAACTGATTGTTGAATTCTGTCTTATAATCCTCAACCAGTTGCTTAATTTTATTAAAAAATGCCTTGTTAAAATAGTCGTGTTCTATCGTGACTCCTTTAAGGAGATTATTTATTTGATTTTCTCCGGAGTTAGATTTATCCCACAGGGATTCTAACGTTAATAAACGTTCTCTATAGTAGGCTGGATTAGTCTTCCTGTCGACGGAGTCCTCTTTGTAATTCCGAATGACATTCTGAATTTGCTCTCCTATAGATAACTGTCCTGTCAACAACTGATGAATGCTGTTCGGTGCCATTCTTACCTTTTTTACAAATCCGATTAAGAGGTATTTTGTAATGATGTGCCTCGACTCACAACGTTGGATATATATATGTAAATTGGCTTTCAACAGATCGATCAGTGGAACAGCAGTTTAACTGGTTCAAATCGCCTGGTTGACCAGAACCTGCCCTTTTCCAACGTAGATCCTTACAGTGTTTGATCGCCAAGTTGATCGCACACCTAAAGTGGTTGAATTTACCGTCTTCTGGTCGCCTTGTTGACCGTTGAAGACTGTAATTGAAGACGTGAAGTCGGATCAAATGGATACTGAATTCGACCGAAATATGCGGTTCAAATTTTTACCAAATTAACTTTTGGTTGATAAGACTATGATCGATGATGCAAGTTCAAATTGGAGTCCCAATTTGAACAATTGTTGCGGTTCAAATCTGGTTTTGCTGAATAGTTTTTTTTTTTTGCGTGCCTCAAGTACAGAACCAGTGGCAATAGTCGCCGCAATAAGTACGGAACAGATTGGGCTGCGGATACGTCAAGATTTCTTTTCGTAATGATTTTATTGAGCATGGATCCGGGTTTATATACATGATTTGGGGTTACAAGGATATTTACTTAGGTCTAGTCTAGATACAAACGGACAACATGGTTTATTATCAGATTACAGGAAAATAGCCTAAATAAGCAATTACATCTACCAAATGGTGTAAAGACACGTCCGTCGGCTGGATACATATGGTTTATGACCCGTTTATAATATGCAGATGTGCGCAGACCAAGATATCAGCTACCTATTTATTTAGGTCGAAGTAGCTATCAGCAACTAATGAGTTTCTGCAAAGTCGAAATCGTACACCAGGACATAAGGGTATTCCATTAAACGAAAAGAGTGATAAATAAGATAAGTTAGCAGTTAGGGAAGGAGTTGAAGTAAATGTCAAACTAAGCACTAAAACATACTTAAGGGAAATTAAAAAAGTATTAGATAGTATGTATAATGAAGATTACACGCTAAATTCTATAAACAAAGGGACAACTCTAATAATTGTTTTTCCAGAAGTCCCAAAAAATCCTTTGCACCATGAACTGAAATGGAAAGCAAAACGCATAGACATTAAAAATTCTAATGACAGGGCATACTTACGACGAAATATTTTTCCAGAAATCCCAAAAAACCTTTGCACCATGAACTGAAATGGAAAGCAAACCACATAGACATTAAAAAGTCTAATAACGGGGCATACTTACGACGAAACCTTTTTACATGGAATTAAAGCGGTGAACTCAAATCTGTGTGAATTCTGTAATGTATCTAAATATGCTGAACAGCAAATCTTTGACTGCCCAAAATCTACCAATCTCCGTACCAAATTTAGGTAAAGGAACCACTCCATATCAATTTTAAATTTCTAGTTCACCCTCAGCGATCGCTTTAAGTCAATTTTTTTTTAGCAGTTGGCCAATAAATTAATCTGTCAAGCTCAATCTACTGGAAGTCTTTGCTTAAATCCACCTGCACTTAAAAAAAACAAAAACATAAAAACAAGGAAGAAAGCTATAGTCGAGTACCTCGACTATCAGATACCCGTTATCAGCTAATGGGACCAAAGGGAAATAAAGATATGCAAGCAGCAAAGTGAGATTGAAATGCGCTACCTACCCGTGATCTCAATGTATGGTTATGTGGGCGGTAGACAGATTTAAGCGTTATGGGCGTTAGAGTGGAGACCAATACATTTCAGTTAAAATTTTGTATCTAGCATGCAAATTGTGGGTGCCACAAGTTTGGTCGGTTTGTGGCCGTTAGAGTGGGCGTGGCATATTCGCGTAACAAACTTGGGCTGCGTACAAGGCTACGAAATCTAAGTCTGGGATCCCATTTCTCTATCATTGATAGTTTCCGAGATATCCGCGTTCATACTTACGATTTTTAAAAGTTTGTGGGCCGCTTGTGGACATTAAAGTGGGCGTGGGTCAATCGATAGATATTGATGAGAACAATACATTTCAGTTAAAATTTTTATTCTAGCATCAAAACTGTAGGAGCCACAGTTTTGGGCGGATTGTGTGCGTTAGAGTGGGCGTAGCAGATTGCTGAAACAAACGCGCAGGAATCTCAGGAATCTGCATGCCTAATCCCAGTATTGTAGCTCTTATAGTTTCCAAGATCTCAGCGTTCATACGGACAGACGGACTCGGCTCGAGACTCGGCTAGTGATCCTTATCAAGAATATATATACTTTATGGGGTCGGAAACGCTGCCTTCTGCCTGTTACATACTTTTCGGTATAAAAAATGTTTAAAGAACCGTATGCGAGAAAGGAGTTTACGGGTTCTAGCTTGTTTCTTGTTGTTTCTCGCTGCGTTACTGTTGGCCCGCAATAGTTCCTGCTCAATTTTCACTACGCTTGCCTTAATGGAAATATTAGCCCTGTCCACTTTTTCACCGAAAAATCATTTCTGCTCGTTTTGAAATTTTCTGCACTTGCCATTTGAACTCATATGTAATTGGTCAGAATAATTTCTTTAAATGTGTTAGCAAGAAATGTGTTATAAGTTATATCTTCTTAAAAGGGTTCATGGAGATTCTCACGGCATCATTGTTGGCCCCCAATAGTTATTATTCTATTATCAATTCATGGAACTCTTATCCTTGAGTCATTTCCAAATAGCAATGAAGATATCATTGCCCTCTGAAATGATTACACATTCTAGCATTATTTTACTTTATATATAGTTTTAAAGCCTAGTACTCACCTCGACAAAAACCGCGAGCCAATCATAGGAGTGAGCGAGAGGCAAATACGCGGCTAACGCTTTTGGTCGGGTCTATTTTTCAGGGCGGTACTTAGATGAGCTAGAAAATACCAGATTTCACGAATGAATTTCGATGAACGCCGTAAGCCGCGGCCCAAAGAATCAGAAATTTAAACTTTAGCGGTGCTCGTGCAAATGCGATGTGGAAACTAAAAATTATAAATGGAAGGCAAACACCAAAAAAGCCTGTAGGAGGTTAGTGCAGAAGAAAAAGGACGCCTAATCCAAGCTGTTGTCCATTATTGTGAGATTTCACCGACAGGAAGCAATACCGCAAAAGGGAAAATCCGCAGAATAGTTGCGGTGCTGGAGGATATCCGCTAGGGAATCCCAGTGGGAAGGAGCATGACGAGTGGGACTTCGCTCCCTACATGGACATCCTGCAGTGCGTGACCTTGAAAAGAAAGTAAGATCTGGCCAAAAGTATTTGGTTGCGTTGTACTAATAGAAGTATATTTTCAGCAGAACCACCAGTATATACGATCTCCGACGACCTCATTTCATTGTTGTGCACCAGCAAACTCTTCTTTTTTTAATTGCTCCAGTTGATTTGGTTTCCGTTTGTCAACAAACCCAGCTACTTGACAGTACCCTGCAAGCAAAAGGGCGATATTTCTATCGCCTGTCGTTCAAAAGTCACTTTTTAGTAACTTCTGCGCGATAGAAACACGATAGAACACATTACACAGAAACAAATTATACATATATCGCATATAAGTCACTTCTAAGTCACTTCTGGACGATAGAAAGACGATAGTCCACATTTTACATCTGAGACACTTTTGACCGATAGAAAGACTATAGTACACAATTTACAAAAAAAAAATTAGTGGGAAAAAATACGCGATAAAAAGAGGTCGAGGTAATTTTCGGATACCCCTTTTTTCCGGAAAATTAATGGGGTCTTCCTTTTGACCCACGCTATTATTTTTCGCCCAAGCGTTATTTCGTTTTACGATTTGTCTGTGGACAGTGTGGTTTGTAACAAATTTGTGCGTTTACAAAATATAGCTTTGTTTTTCTTGATGCTGCTTAACACTCCCCTTTGCGATAAAATTGACATTACCGTGGGGATTAAAATTGTGCCCCCGTAGAACTTGATCATTTGGCACGTCTATGGTAAGTGAACCTTCTGCAACCAAACTAAGATAAATCTTGGTTAAGTTTAGAAATGTTGAACAAAAGTTAGCCTTCTTGTAGGTTTTAAATTGATGAGAAGTCGGTTCTATATTAATTGGTTTTCACTTGCAGTATAAAGTTCAGTCGATCGGACGAGTCAGTGTTGCTAGTTCTTGATTGGCTACATATATCTTCAGGCTCTATTAATTATGATCCATCAATGCTCAGTTCGTGAAATGAATCCCTTCTTCATAGAGAGAAATCTCATTCTGCCGTTTGCTATCTTCTATATCAAATTTATTATCATTCACCGGATTTGTATCTCTCGTTGGCTCATAAGCAGCGTTCGGTCCTGCAAGATCATCTGCGTTTTCTACCAAAATAGGTTTGATTTCCGTATTAGATGAGGTTTCTTTATTGAGAAAACCTGTGATTACAGAACCAAGCCTTGCGCCTTGTGCCAAAGGTAGATCCTAGTTCAAGAAGTTCACCGGTTAGAATATATATCAAGCCCTAAGGTTAGGTCAATGGGTCCAGGTTGCCGAAAGTCTGGGTATGCTAACGGCAGTTCCTCGGGAACATTAAGATCGGTTTCAATCGGTACTGACGGTTGGTTTGTTATAACTGTGGGAACAATAAATGCCTCTACTAGTGTTTCAAACCCGATGGACATGATGAGAGCTTTAGTATTGATCTAATTGCTGTTGTTGTTTTTCCTCCGATTCCATATATTTCGATCGGTGACGACATATCCTTAAGAGATAGCAGATTCGCCATCCTCCTTGAGATAAGATTCACCTGTGATCCAGCATTTGTTACAGCGCGACAAGTTTGTAGTTGACCGGTTGGCCCTTGGCGGAGCAGAGCATATCCTCTAGGGTTGTCGTAGCCTGTAATGGTTGCTGCGCCGGCCACTGGATTGCTAGTCGCTCCGTGGTGTAACAGTGAATGATGCCGTTGCTGGCAGACTCGACAAGTGGCCTGTGATCCACAGTTTTCAACCTTATGAGCTGTAGACAAACAATTTGTGCATGCTCCTACTTGAATAATGGCTTGGCGACGTGTTTTGGGGTCCATTTTCTGGAAACGGCTACATGCTCTAAGATGGTGTGGTCCTAGGTGACAAATCATATAGCTCATATAAACGTTAGCACACTCCCTAACGTTTGAATTTTCGTTAGTGCATCCGCTGAATTTTCCAGTGCAGCTCGAGACTGCTGGTCTAGTTTTCTTCTTATAATAAAACAGGATTGGATCCCAGGATTTCTTGCTAACATCGAGGTTTTTAAGAGTACTCATTGAGTTTTTCATAGTGTCATTTAAGGCTCTTAGTTGGCGCTAGGAGCCGTCTATAGGCTTATAGTCAACCATTTTTGCTATAGCGGCGAATACGAGTATCTTTTCGTACTGGTACCTGGCCTTTAATAGCAACCAGGTGTCGTCATAGCCACCCTGTGAGAAGGCTGTGTCTGTCAAGACGTTCCCCGCTTCACCACGAAGCAGGCTCTGTATAATATATAGTTTTTGACTGGTCCAATATGGGTATTATGTACTAAATCTACAAAGAGATCATGGAACCGCGGCTAGTCTAGAACATTGAACTTCAGAATGCTAATTGGCGGAAGTGCCAAGTGTAGGCTCAATGGCGCGTCGTTTTGTCGAAGAAGGTTCATTTCGTATTCCTCGTATAATGTGTGGAATTGTGCTAGCTCTGCTTTTGCCAGAGCTGCGGCCCCAGGTGTGCTATCCAATTCGTCGTGGGCTTGCCTCAGTAACGCCCAATGGAGGTCCAGGTGCCTTTTGTAGGGCTGGGGTGACCGTTGGAGCATTAGTCGGATAACCGTGTCAATCGCGGAGTCTCTCTTGACTTTATCTCCTCTTGTAATCTTGATGTTGGCCGATGTTCGCCTGGGGGCTACTAGTCGTGAAGCGTATTCACTTCCAGTGGGTAATGCCGCTTGTTGGACTTCTTCATCTAGGTCGCAAAACTGCTGCCAGAGATCGTTTAACTGATCTAGCTTACCGGAATAATACGTCTCGGTGGCTTTGTTCGACTGAAACCTTGCTATAATTCTTTATGAGCTGTTGGATCTGTACCTTTAGCTCATTTTGGATTCGTAAATCGATTCTTGTGTGACTTGTTTCCTCTATGAATGAAGTAGACACATTGTGTGTCTTGGAAACGAAGAATCCTGTGAAGCCGAATAAAGCTGTGTGTCCTGTGCAGATGGGTGAAGCTGTGAGTCCTGTGAAGCTGGATTAAGCTGACGATCCTGTGACGCTGGATCAAGAAGCGTATCCTGTTAAGCTGGATGAAGCTGAGTATCCTGTGAAGCTGGATGAAACTGAGTATCCTGTGAAGCTGTGAGTCTTGTGAAGCTGTATTAAGCTGAGTATCCTTTGAAGCTGGATGAGCTATGGTTTCCAGGGCGGGTGGATGTAGTGAACTTAACGGCACCAGTCAGAGGTTCAGCTGTTTGTGGGAAGGGGGTGCTGGAGTGTGATCATTTGTTGGTAAAGGATCACGTCGGGGTCACCAATGTTTGTGCCTAACCGATGTAGACACTCACAAGACGTTCGCGTCGCGGAAATGGTAACAATGGTTACTGCGATGCCGGACCACAGGCGATGCGGGAACTGCGCTGAGGTTGAGCTAGCGTAAGTTAGCTGCTAGTTGAGATAGTGTAGTACGAGCCCTATTACGAGTTGCGTTGATAACTGATTTATTCTTCATTTGATACTTGCTTATATACTACTTGGAACACAAAAGTTTAGTGTAGGTTAGGTTAGGTTAGGTTAGGGCGGCTGTCGGACTATAGTCCGACACACTTAGACCACAATGGGTCCGTTGTGATACCGCATGATCTCGCTTCTTCCTTCTCTAGGGTCCCGTTTCTAGTAGTTTCAGCCTGTGTTAAGCTGATCAGCATGTCTTCCACCCGGAAGACTTAATAAAGGCACTTATGCTTTTGAGATTAATCTCCGATATTTCGGTAAGATCGTCGATGAAGGGGCTTCCTAAGTGTTTCAGTCTGAGTCTGCATAGGGCTTGGAAGAAGCAGAGAAGGTGTTCTACCGTTTACACTTCTTCCTCATCCCTACAGCTTCTGCAGAAATCATTTTGCGGGGCTTTTAGCCTACCGGCATGTGCGCCAACAAGCCAGTGCCCTGTAAGAGCTCGGATCAACATGCCACACTCTGTGCGGCTGAGTTTGAGTAACTCCGAGGTTTTTTTGTTGTTTATCACAGGCCAAGTCTGGTGAGAGATGCGCCACTGTGGTGCGTTTTGCCAATGGGTGTTGGCTAGTGTGTTGAAGAGGTTTTTTATGTTTAGCTTGCAAGTAGCCATGGGCATACCGACATTTTCCTCTCCTGGTAGGAGAGGCTTGGTGGTGCCCTGCCTTGCTAATTTGTCTGCTATGCAGTTGCCTACGATGTCCCGGTGACCCGGAACCCATATTAGGCTGATAGTAAACTGATTTGCCATCTCGTGGAGAGATCTGCGACAGTCTGCTATTGTACGGGAGTTGGTGTTTGTCGAGTAGATCGACTTAATAGCCGCTTGGATGTCACTATATATGTTTAGGTGTCCTCTCTGGAGGCTAAGGTTCCCTAAACAGGTTAGTGCTTCTTTTATAGCGTGGACCTCCGCCTGAAAGACGCTACAGTGGTCCGGGAGCCTGAATGACTTCCTGATATCTAATTGTTCGGAGTATACACCTCCGCCGACGTGTCCTTCTAATTTGTATAGAAACAGATTGCGTCCGTCGTGCCCGGTCGGCCCTGTTCCCATTCCTCTCTATCAGGAATCAGGGCCTCAAAGGGTGTGTGACTATATTCAATAGATTTGCATAGATCCGTGATTTTCGGAATCGATTTATCATGCTGGAGAATTTTAGCATGGCCATATAATTGGGCTTTCCACTGCCCTGTGTCCCTCAGTCGAATAGCTGCCGATTTGGCCCTTTCCATGCCTGCTAAGTCCAGGCTAGGGAGGTTCAAGATCGCATTCAGCGCTTCATTCGGGGTGGTTCGAAGGGCTCCACTAATACACAAAGCCGCCATTCGCTGTACTTTGTTTAGAGGAGTCAGTATGCATTGTTTGTGCAAGGCGGTCCACCACAGAGCCACTCCGTACAGTAGGATTGGCTTGACTACCGCTGTGTATATCCAGTTAACTATTCTTGGGGACATGCCCCATCTTAGCCCGATTGCTTTTTTACAGGAGTAAAGTGCAATGGTCGCTTTTTTGGTTCTCTCTTGGTTGTTTAAGCCATATTTGAGGCGTTTATCTAGTGATCGCTAAAGGAGAGATTACAATTGTTTAAAATGGGTGGGTTAAGTTGTGGAACTTTGTACCTATTTGTAAATAGAACAAGTTCTGTTTTCGAGGGTTTTACCCCGAGTCCGTTCGCTATAGTCCATTCCGATAGTATTTTAAGTTTAGCGGTCATAAGATCGCAAAGTGTTTGTGGATATTTTCCATTAAAGATGATGGCGACGTCGTCTGCGTATGCCACGACCTTACAGCCTCCTCCCTCCAGAATCCGCAGTAGTTTATTTACTGCGATATTCCACAGGAGGGGTGATAGTACACCTCCTTGCGGGGTGCCTCTGTTCACTAGTCTAGTCTGGGTTGAGGTCCCTAGTGTGGCTGTGACCATTCTGCTTATCAGCAATTTATGGATTAGCCTCACCATTGGCGGCTCAACCCCTAGTTCTGTGAGAGATTCTGTTATAGCAGTGGGAAGCACGTTATTGAAGGCTCCCTCTATATCCAGGAAGGCGATCAGTGTGTATTCCTTGATGTTGAGTGATTTCTCGATGCTGTTTACCACCAAGTGTAGCGCCGATTCGGTTGACTTACCTTTGGTGTAAGCGTGTTGTGCTTCTGATATTTGTGTCGGGTCTATGGTGGCCCTTATGTGTAGGCTTATCATTCTTTCAAAGCTCTTAAGCAGGAATGATGTTAGGCTTATTGGCCTAAAATCCTTTGCTGTGGTGTGAGTGGCCTTCCCTGCCTTGGGAATGAAAACCACCTTTGTTTCTTGTTGTTTTTTCTATGGACAACTCAGTTGTTTTTTCTATGTCAGAGCAGAAGGTCTGCCATGCCGTTCGTTTAGCTCTTCTAATGGCCTTTTTGTAGGAGGCTGAACTTGTAGTTCAGCCAATTGGTGTCCTCATTTCCCGCCTTTGCTCTGTTAAACAGGCATCTGCAGTTGGTTCTGAGGATAGATAGTTGTTGGGTCCACCAGGGGGGTTTTTTCCTTACTCTTGGTTTCTCTGTGGGGCATGCCACTTTGAAGGCAGTGTTGCATGCCTCTGTGAATTTGTATACTGTTTCGTCCAGCTCATGTGGGCTTGTGATGCTTTCTGACGGTTCCATGGGAAGGATATTTGTCAGAACTTCTTTGTACCTATGCCAGTCCGCTCGTCTGGGGTTGGCGAAGCTGACCGGCAAGGGCGAATCAAGGGACAGTACGGTTTCTATGAATCTATGGTCCGAAAAGGAGTGCTCGTCAGAGACTGCCCAGTTTTTGACTGCGCCTACGAGTGAATCTGATACCAAAGTTAGATCTATGATCGTTTGGCAAGCTTTAGTTATGAAAGTAGGGGCATTGCCCCTATTGCATAAGAATAGGTTCGAATTTAGAATAAAATCAAAAAGAGACTCACCTCTGTCGTTGTGGTTTGGGCAACCCCACTGGGTGTGATGGGCGTTTGCGTCACAGCCTATTACCAATCCGTTCTTGAGCTTTTCGCATTCCTCTGCTAGTCCTCTGACCAGCGCATCTGGGGGGTTTTCCTTCTCAAAGGCCAAATAGGCCGATAGAACCCTTATAGAGCCACTCTGCAGCTCCAGGTTACTGCGGTGTTGTCCCCGTTGCTGTAATTGCGAAGTAGAAATATACTAAGATGCCTTTTGGCTAATATGCAGGTTCGAATTTTACCTTCTTTGAGGTCAAGCATAAGCTTGTATTCCTTAGTTCCTAGTCCAGCAACCTTGCCTCCTACTACCCAAGGTTCCTGTACGAGGACTAGGTCGGCTCCGCCTTCTGTCAGGCGAAGCAGAAGTGCAGCAGACGCTGCTTTACTGTGGTGAAGGTTTATTTGTAGAAGTCTTAGTGACATCTACAGCTTCAACCTCCACCACAGTGAAGTCGGCCTCCTCTGTGTCGCTGAGGTCTACGTCCTCGATTGCCGGTCCGAGCGCTCGCATCTCTCTGCTTAGCGACGAATCGGTAGAGTAGCCGTCCTCCGGCCCACCAGGTGCCTCCAACTCCTTAGCAAGCACCTGCTCGGCTGGGTTGCCGGCAGAGCTGCTAGCGGCGTTGGAGTCGCCCTTATACACTTTGATGTGTATCGCGCTGAACCCGAAGTTCAGCACTCCTCGAGCAGTCTCGATCGGAGCTACTGACTCCTTGTTCAAGACCAAAACCGCCTGGTTGACATCCCCTTCATGCTCCTCCACCTTGACGACTTTCCAGTCCTTCGTGGGGAGGTGCGGGTTGCATTCTTGCAACATGAAGAGGATGTCCTCCGGCGCCTTGATCGCTGCTGGAAGCCAGATCCTGGCTCGGGGTCTACTGGGGACATCGCACCAGTCAAGCGCAACGATGTTCGCCCCTTCGTAAACCTCGCCGAGCTTGCTTGTCGCCTGTTTGTACATGTCAGCCGACCGCTGACTGTCGCATGCCACCACCTTGACGCTGCCCTGGTACCAGCCCGCGTCCATGCAGCAGGGCGAGGTGCCTGGCTTCTCTCGTACCATGCGCAGGCAAATGAGGGAAAGGTGGGACTCCACTGCCTTCCACTTGTTTCTGGGGATCCTGCCCTCCGGATTTCCCCTGTCAATCAGGCCAAGTAATACACGATTCTTCGTGATTTCGGCGAAAGAGACCGATGGCTGGATCCTAGATCTCTTCGCCGATGGCCCGGGTAGTTCGAGGGATCGCTGCCTTTTGGCCTGAGTCGCCTCTTGAGTGGGCTTTTCCTGCCCGTAGTTTGGAAGCACCTTCCTTGCCCACTCTACCTTCTTTAGCCATTCAGGCGAAGGCGTGGCAACGGTGCTCCTGGTGTGTGAGCGCGGAGTCTGGCTGGCAGTCCGCCTTTTTGCGTATGTATATTTAGCACCAGCGGGTGGCCCGAGCGCCTTGGCAGTGCCTACCGTTGCTTTTGGCGCAGATGCGCACGTAGCGGAGGCGTTTGCGGCTGGCTTTCTGCCACCCATCGTCCCCAGTGTGGGATGCGGCCCTTTCTGGGCCGTGCTGGTATGGAAGGTGGAACCAGTGTTCGTCTTATCCATGGGTTTTTTAAGAGTACCCGTCTCTGTGTTTTTTGTATTTGTGTTTACTGTTTTCTGCTCCATAATTTGGTCCCACGAGTTGCGGAGAAGGGGAAAAGTCCGCCCGGGCAGAGATCCGCGATGCCCGGGTAAGGCGATAGTTAGAACAGGGGGTCGCCATGTCCCTGAGCACACCGTTTGAGACTGGGCTAGTTTTGATCCGGGCCCCAGCCAGGCTGACTCTTGGCACGGTCCGTATTACACCGTAGTCCTGCCCGGAGTGAGATGTTGTTTGGGAGGGGAGTTGGGAAGGTGTTGTGTTGGGAGTGGGTTTGTGTAAAGCAACTATTTAGATGCGGCTGAACAACTCGCATCGTCGGTATTGCTTCGTTGCAAAATACCCGCTGGCTGTCCGGGACTGTTTATTTACCGTCCGTATCCAACCAGCTTATTCACAGTTGACCTCGAGAGAGGTCGTCCGCTATCCGCAACCTGCGATCCGCTCGGTTGCCCCAGCTAGGCGACTTTGGAACCATCTCACAAGTTCCTCGGCCGAGAAGTTTAGTGTAATGGTTAGTGAAAAAAGCTGACACTGCAAAATGTGCTGACTGCATTGGCGGGTCAGTGTACCGTTGAGTCGGTGAGACGGTGAGTTAGTGAGACATGTAATATGCTGATCAGCATTTCCCAACTGCAGTGGGTGCTACTGAGCGAACGCGATACCGTGGAAGTTGGCCCAACCTCTGTGAGAGTTGTATTAATTAACTACATTTTGCGGGTAGTCTCGCTGGCGTGAACAGTGGGAAACGACAAATTTAAAAATCAATTTTCTCAAAAACGGTTGTTTTAATTTTTATGAAATTTTCACGAAACGTGCTTAAGAGGATCTCCAATCTACCCATATACCATGCATGCCGGCACAACCGCTAAGAGTAGAACTTAGGTAATTTCATTTTTGACCCCCTTTTTTTATGGGGAAAATCCGCGGCACTGCTAGGCAATTTTCTCGAAAACTGTGGGTTTGAATTTGATTAAACTTTCAGACAAGAAGCTTGAATTAACGTTTAATAGCCTGGCTTAGCGTGCTTATAGGTACAACCTCTGTGATAAAAAAAATAGTGGGGACTCGACTTTTCGAATGCATTTTTAAATATTAACTTATTACAACTTAGATTGATAGATAGAACTTACTAACTTTGCGAGGACACTCCCCGCAGAATGTCCATGTAGGGAGCCAAGTGCTCTAGTGGATCTCTCCAGCACTTCATTTATTCTGCGAATTTGCCCAGTTGTGGTATTGGTTCCTGTTGGCGAAGTCTCACAATAATGGGCAACAGCTTGGATTATTCGTCTTATTTCATCTGTAGTGACATCCTGCAAGCGTTTTTGGGGTTTTCCTACCATTATAATTTTTTTGTTTCCACACCGCTTCTCCTCGAACACCGCCAAAGATTAAATGTCCTTTTCTTTGGGCCACGACTAACGGCGTTCATAGAATTCACTCTCTTAGTCTAGTATTTTTTCTGGTAATTCCTTAGCTCATCTGAGTACCGCCCTGAAAACAGGCCCCACGAAAAGCGTAAGCCGCGAATTTGCCTCTCGCTCACTCCTATGGTTAGCTCGCGGTTTTCGTCGATGTGAGTACTAGGCCTAAACATTTAAGCGTTTTAGATTTTTCGATTTGGTCCACAAACAGCGAGAAAATTTAAAAATAAAATTAGCCCCCACGTTCCTACTTCTACCATTCCACTTTCGTTTCTAACAGGCCGACGCTATTTTGACGGACATGCCAATCTGAGTACTAGACTTGAACTCTGAAATCTTCGGTCACACAACGAGGAACTAAGTTTTTTCGACTAGTTAAAATGTTAGCGTTTTGTGTACTAGTCTTCAGCAATTTTTCTTTTTAGTTTTTATTTTTAAGACCTAATCGAACTTTTTCTCGAACATTTTTTGTTTTAAGAGGTGGGACAAAGGTTTTTTCTGAAGGAAAAATGAGAAAAACCTAAAATGGTCATATATTTTTCTATTTCTTAAAGGTTTTCAAACAACTAAAAAACGATGCAAAATAATATTGAAAAATATTAAATATTCGAAATTGTATGTCCTGAAAACTAAACGTTGGCAAAATTAACTAATTTGTGTTCAAGCATGGGCAAACGGTTCGGCTTTTCAAATTTCATGTATCTTTATTACTGTGTTTATGCGATGCCGAATTCACGCTTTCATTTCGCGATTTCAGCCGATTCGTGTGTGCATAAACGCCATTTCGTGAATTCGACAACACACGAAAGTTGACTATGAATTCAACCTGAAAGCGTGAAATGGTCACAATTAAACTCCTGTAACTCTATATAATTATCGGAGTTGCCAGATCGATATAAATACATAAATACACCTTACATTTAACAAATTTTTAGTTCATTCAGTGCCAATGGAAACTAGTTTTCATCTTTTATTTGGACGGTAAAAAAATTGTATACTGGCTTGCACACACTTTATCTTTAAAGCCTAGTACTCAGATCGGCTAAGAGTTTCACTAGTCGAAAAATCTTATTCTTTGTAGTGTGACCGAAGTTTTCAAAGTTCACCCGCAATGCATGTAGCATGGTCTTACTGACAAGCAGTTGGGTTTGAAATTTAAATTTAAAAAGGAGGAGTCTGCTGGTACACAAAGAAATAAAAATAAAAATAAATGGAATGTTCAACGAATTTTTTTATTTATGTAAATTAGTAGTTTAAAGCTTCCTTTTCGACCCACGGATGCTTCGCCATCTTTCCCGTTCCACCGCAGTCCAGCTCGGAGTCTCAATGGGCATATTAGACCTTGAGGAAGTGGGAGCCGGATTGGGAACGGGGTTGATCCGCTGATGCTGCAGGGAGTCGCCCAGCATCCTGGCAGTGTCTGGCTATGGCTTCTCCAACTGTTCCTTAGCGGGCGCCCTATTTTCCTCCTCTCTATAGAAACCAGCGGGTCCTCCAGCTCCGCTTAAGCTGCCAAGTAGCTGGTGGTGGTGGTGTCCGGAGTCCTAATGGAGAGGTCGTCGGAGATCGTATTACTGGTGGTTGTGCTAAAAAGAGACTTCTATTAGTACAACGCGACCAAATTCTTTTGGCCAGATCTTACTTTCTTTGCGAGGACGCGCCCGGCAGTATGTCCATTTAGAGATCGAAGTCCCACTCGGCATGTTCCTTCCCACTGGGATTCTCTAGTGGAACTCCTCCAGCACTTCAACTATTCTGCGAATTTGCCCCTTTTGTGGAATTGCTTCCTGTCGGTGAAATCCCGCAATAAAGGGCATAAGCTTGGATTTGGCGTCCTATTTCATCTGCTCTGACCTTCTGGATTCGATTTTGGGGTTTTCCTTCCATTTTTAATTTTTAGTTTCCACATCAGCTGAGATTGATAAAAAGCATGAATTCGGCTGTGTCGCATAAACAGGAGCAAATTTTATTTCACGCTTTTAAGAAATCATGAAATCCTTAGCATAAACATAGTATATATCTACCCAGTTTGATTGACAAGTGGGATTGGAGTATAATTTATACAACCGTGTTCCGCTTTCAAATCACCGGCGCTATTTTGAACCTAATTACATGTTTAATATTATTTTACAATTAGGGGTCACACTGACTAGTAAAAACTGGTGTTGTACTAGATCGGTTAACGTCAAAAATGGATGAACTCTTGAGCGATGTGGTACCACAAGAAGATTTGGAGGTTCCAATAACATTTTGACGTTGAGTGTTACGAATATAATAAGTTTTATTGTTGTAGAGGTTTGAAAAAAAATATCATCACGAACTTGAGTTGGATGGAGAAATTGCCACAGAGACAAAATTTGAGTACGAAAAATTAATTTGACATTTTAAAGTATTAAAATACCCGCCAAATACTTTGTTTTTTATTACACGATAGGTATGCATTTTGCCTGGTCCGTAGTCGTTACACAAACGACATCAGAAAGGTGACTATCATTGAGAATTAGAAATGTGTGTAATTCAAAAGTTGTTTAAAAACACAGGGTATTTTGTTATTGGAGGAGTTGGCCCGTACTCATCCAGAAGGAAGACGTGACTATATATATTACCTCGCATTTGGAAATGCTCGTATAAAAGAGTATACTTCTGGCTTAAAGTACTGCACAGCTTTTCTGGACATCGAATCCAATGATCAAGTGCGCTCCCTTCAGGTGAGTAACCATATATCGCTATTTTAATAAAAGAGTGACATATTAAAAAAGAAAAATAATTTTAAACCACACCAGAAGAGTTAACTGATTGTCGAAAAATTATTCAAAAATACCAAAGGGCAGTCATACTAATAGCTGATGACAAACTTTGAAGCAAAATTAAAACAATATATGCAGAAAAGAAATTTCTTAGTAAAAAAAATTTTAAATTATGCCACCAAATCCTGAACCTGCAACTTGCAGACCGTATGCACATTTATAGAAGACTATCGATTTCTGTTCCGATATATCTCGGCAATAGCCTGCCGGGGATTTAAGTCTTATTTGCGTGCAATCATTAGCTCCAAGGACTTTAGAAAACGCGAAATTTTTTTTTTTAAATTGACATTTTCCTGACGATTGTCAATATGCGGAAAATTAATTAACTATTTTGTTAAAGATGCTGAAAAAAATTAAACTTCGTTAACAACTAGATCGTCTGTAGCTGCAATAACGCCAAAAATTGTCTACAGTTATCAGAAAACTAAATTGTCCTTTGAATTGAATGCAAAATACACAAAAATTTTCTTCGCTGTAATGTTTGAAGTAATGTGTTTGGGATTCATGCGCAGTGCAAGTTTTTTTCAACAGTCCACTTTAACGCCCATAAGGCTTAAACTCGTCAAGCGCCCACATTCTTTTATATTTTGTTAAAATTTAAATGAGATTTGGTTCTTATTATCAATATCCATTTACATGCCAACAATTATTTGAATGAAACCATTCATTAAAAACTTCTAACCGAACAATAATTGAGTGCGAGAGGGATGGAGACATATTTATACAGAAATGGGTTTTTTTTAATTAAAACAAAAAAAACTTAATTTGCCGTAACAAAATATTTGCCCATTTGTTGTAATTAACTTGCAAACGTACAGTGCCGAACTACCATCATTGATTTCTTTTATTCACTGTATGAATTATAAAATACCTCATTTGGATGGAGTGGAATATTTAATTTATTTAATAATTTAATATATAATTAATTCAATGTCATTGATTTTTCTTTCACAACTATTTTTAAATATATAAAAACACAAAAACGCGATTTTGACGTAACAACATTATTGACACACTTGTTGCTATTTTTTGTTAAATCAACTGATTTGGTTTATTAATATTCCCGTTATTCGTAGAATAAAACTTTTATTGTAAAAGGGTATATTGTAAATGGGAAAAGTAACAGGAAGTAGGAAGCGTTTCGGAACCAATAACATCCCTTTCCTACGCAAACTAGTTTCTCAGTTTTGAACCTATCGGGCTGAAACTTTCGCAAAAATCTTCTTTATTTTGCAGGTAGTATATAAGTCGGAACCAAAAAAATTATACCTCTGGTTTTTTTTAAATATAACCAACCTCCTACGCTTGAAAATAACATTTTTGAATCAGTTCTGAATTTCGAATTTAATTTGATCAAAATCGGACGATTTTATCATATAAAAAATTGGTATGAAAATAATATGAAACAAATTATTGCTTCGGTGTTTTTTGACATATTATCTTATACTATTGGGAATATCACTTTTTTGTATTTTTAAGAATGTAACGAAATAAAACGCTATTTTCGACATAATGGTGCCACTTCACCCATAGCATCCTCCGCAGGGCCTTTGTGATGCAAGTTTGTAGTCTATTTAACGACGTGTCGCAAGCGATGCCCCAGCATTTTATTCACCAATTAAGGGTCGGGAGAACAAAGGCTTTGAAGAGCCGTACTTTAGCCTTAAGGAATAACCCACTATCTGGGCGAAGTAGCCCGTCTATTTCGTCCACTTTCGTCCTTGTTGACCCACAGACTCGGTCGATCTGACTCCGAGGTACGTTACTTTCTGCTCATGCTTAAGTCTATCACTATCTAAGTAAAGGCTACGGGAGCGGCCAGGTCAAAGAGCAAAGGTGGCGTGTTGCGTTTTATCAACGTTAAGCGCAATATTCCATCGGGAGGCTCAACATTAAAAATTATTCAAGAATGTCTGGACACGCCACACAGCCGAGGATGGGGTGCTGCCAGTGGCTAGGAATACATTATCATCTGCGTAGGTGGCTAGAAGAGTACCACGTGCTACTTTGTTTGGGAGATCCGAAGTGTAAATTGTGTGCAGATTGTGTGGGACTCCAGCTCGAATTTGACGTAGTCCAGAAAGATGTCCACGAATGTCGACGGCAAGCATCCTCTTGTCCAGAATTGACAACGAGCTTCTAAAGTCACTCAGGCAATAGTGACATTAGCTTGTAGAAAAGACCTTCACGCCAAACCCTATCAAAAGTCTGTCTGACATCAAGAAAAACGGCCGAGCAGTATTTATGACTTTCTAAAGCATCTAGAATGTGGTTCACGACTCTGTGAACCTGTTCAATAGCTGGGTTGCGACTACGGAAACCAAATTGGTGGTTTGGCAAAGCGTCATTAAACGTGTCAATGTCCAGGAGCCTGTTTAGTACGATCTGCTCAAAAATCTTGGAAAAAGTGGATCAGCAGGGATCGTTACCCTTTTT